TTTCTAAGAATTTACAGCATTTAAAATTTCTAATATCATAATTTTATTAAAAATATATTTTTCAAAATAATGAGGTCGCTTGCACATAAAATTTATCGCGCCTAAAATTCATGATAATACGTAGAAATAAGTATTTCATTTCATTTTAAAAAAAAACAGATTATTTTTCTAGATAATGAAATCACTTACCTAAAATATTTGAGAGGGAGCTTCCGATAAAAATTCGGCTAGAGAGAGCTCACTGCGTTTCGACTAGAGAGAGAAAGATCTCAAAAATTTTCTAAGGTGGGAGTCCTCACCTCTCCTATTTAAATTCTTAAGACACCTTATTATTTTATCTTGTTAAGTTACACCTCATACATGAGGTGTAACAATATATTACACCTGAACGTTTAAAGCCCACGTCCACTAAAGGACGTCGCAAGGTAGCCAAAAACTTAAACCAAAATCTTTTTAAAGTAGTGATGGTCCCTAAGGATCATCATGCTCATATGGACCATCACTTATTAAAAGTTTCCTTTTTTTTTTTAGTTTAGGATTGTTGCACCTGGTTTGGTGGGGCCAAGCCGAAATGCCCTACCCTATTTTACATCGAGCCTAGGCCTAGCCCGTCCCTTTCCTTGGGCCATGGTAGCCCGACCTTTTCCTTGGGCCAAACTTTTTGGCCCTAGCCCTTAATTTCTTAGGGCCGGGCTGACTAGGTGAGGTTGGGCAAATCAACCCATTGCCAGCCCTACTAAGAATTTCAATCCCCGGCAAAACTAATCCAAGACATTTTTGCAGGGAGCTCCGAAATTTAGTATAGGGGTAGTTTATAAATTTTTTTTATCTTAAAATAAATTTTTATATTTATTATAGATATATAATAGTAAGAAGTATGAATATACCAAATTCAAGCTTCATCCAATGTATAAGAGATAAAATTTAAATACACTTTACGTTCTAAAAAAAATAAGACTTAATTGTAACTCATGAAATATATTGGACTATTTTAAGTATGGAAAAAATTTATATAAGGTTGCAACTTTAAAATGTAGAATTACATATGCACATAAAAAATCCACCAGAAAATATGGTTTTAATGTTGAAAAAACCCTATAATTGATCATCTCGACATCGAGATGTATGACTATGAAGAAAAAAAGATTTAGAGTCTCAAAAATAGTACATCTTGCAATACATTTCTAGATCATCCATTTTCAAGATTTTCATATGTTTATAGATCTGCTTGATTT